CATCTAAAACCTTCAGCATATGACTAAAAGGGTGGGGAAAGGAAGTGAAAGCAAAGCTGCAGGAAAAGATTTGTAGGAGATAAAACACAGCTCTAATTTTGTACATAAGTGGAAATTCCATGAGTAAAAGAAACCTCCTTGAGATCACACACACACACACACATATATATACACACACACACACACACACACACACACTACAGTTTCTTCATTTATTGACAGAAACTTAGGTTGTTTCCATATCCTGCCTATTATGGATAATGGACATGGGAGTGCAGATATCTCTTCAAGGTACTGATTTCATTTCCTTTGGCTATGTACCCAGAAGTGAGATTGCTAGATTATATGGTAGTTCTATTTTTAATTTTCGAAGAACTTCCATGCTGTTTTCCATAATAGCTGTGCCAATTTACATTCGCACTAATAGTGTGCAAGAGTTCCCTTTTCTCCACATTCTCACCCACATTTGTCTTTGTTTATAATAGCAATTCTAATAAATGTAGGGTGATACCTCGGGGTTTTAATTTGCATTTCCCTGATGATTAGTGACATTGAGCATCTTTTCATATACTTGTCGGCCATCTATATGTCTTCTTTTGAAGAATGTCAATTCAGGTCCATTGCCCTTTTTTTTTTTTTTGAATCAGGTAATTTGGTTTTTTTGCTATTAAGTTGTATGAGTTCCTTAAATATTTTGGATATTAATCCCTTATCGGATATACAGTTTGCAAATATTTTCTCCCAGTTTGTAGATTGTCTCTTCACTCTGTTGGTTGTTTTGCTGTGCAGAAGCTTTTTACTTTGGTACATTCTCACTTGTCTATTTTTGCTTTTGTTGTCTATGATTTTAAGGGGTCAAAAAAACCGTTGTCCGAACTAATGTCAAGGAGCTTTTCTCTTTTCTTCTAGTAGTTTTACAGTTTCAAGTCTTATGTTTAAATCTTTACTACATTTTGAGTTGATTTTTTCTATATGGTGTGAAATAAGGATCCAACTTCATTCTTCTGAATGTGACTATGCAGTTTTCTCAATACCAATTATTGAAGAGACTATTTTTTCCACATTGTGTGTCTTTGGCACTCTTAACAAAGATCCGTTGACATAGATGTATGACTTAATTTCTGGACTCGTACTGATTTTTATTACTGTAGCTTTGTAATATATTTTGAAATCAGTAAGTGTGATACCTCTAGCTTTGTTCTTGCTCAAAATTGCTTTGGCTATTTTTGATTCCATATGAATTTTAGGGTTGTTTTTTCTATTTTGGTTAAAAAAAATGCCATTAGAATTTTAATAGAGATTGCATTGAATCTGTAGATTGCTTTGGGTGGTACGCACAATTTAACACTATTAATTCTATTTCTTAAATTAATGTTTTATAATTTTCAGTATAGAGATCATTCGCCACCTTGGTTAAATTTATTCCTAAATATTTTCTTCTTTTTGGTGCTATTGTAAATACCAATTTTTCTTAAATCTTTTTTTTTTCTGATAGCTCGTTAGTGTATAGAAATGCAACTGATTTTTGTGTATGTTCATTTTGTATCCTGCAGCTTTATAGAAATCATTTATTAGTTTTAACAGTTGTTTTGGTGAAGTTCGTTGGTGGTTCTACATATCAGATCATGTTATCTGCAAACAGAAATGATTTTACTTCTTTTTTTCTGTCTTAGATGCCTTTTATTTCTTTTTTGACTAATTGCTCTGGCCACAACCTTCAGTACTCTGTTGACTAGAGGTGGTGAGAGTGAGCATTCTTGTCTTATTCCTGATCTTAGAGGAAAAGCATTCAGCTTTTCACTGTGAAGAATGATGTTAGCTGTAGACTTGTTATATATCACATGTGCTTTTAACGCAAGAAAATCCCGGTGAATGGTCTCAGCCAAAAAACAGAGTAAGAAATCACAATTTCTAGTAACTCAGCATAGTATAAAATATATTATATTTTTCACTAAAAAAGATACTTTGCTATATACTTTATATATCTATGTATACATCCTGCTTAATGGGATTACATTCAGAAAACATGTATGCTCTTCTTCCTGTGTGATTTAAGAAATAGTCAAGGGCATTTTTGATTCTAGACTTTTTTTGGTTTACCTACTCCTCGGAACTGAAACCCACTGAAATTCAATGCCTGTACTCTCCTTATAGGGAATATCATCTCTCTCTGTTACTGAAAGGGCAGATGCAGTGGCCTGTCTAAATACCTGCCTTGCTTTTGTTTCCTAGGGAGAGATTTTCAAGTCAACATTACGACTGAGAGCACATTTACTGCAGGAAAACCCTTAGAACTGGTTTGCCTGGTAGTGGGCAGTGGCCGGGACCCTCAGCTTCAGGGCACTTGGTTCTTCAATGGGATTGAAATGGCCGGTATTGATGCTGGTGGAGTTCTGGGCCTGAAAGAAGACTACAAAGAGAGAGCAAGAGAAGGACAAGTCCAGGTTTCAAAGTTAAACCCCAAGGCTTTCTCTCTCAAGATCTTTGCTGCAGGCCCAGAGGATGAAGGCGCCTACAGATGTGCTGTGGCAGAGGTGACAAGAACTCAGATGGGCTCCTGGCAGGTGCTTCAGAGAAAGCAGTCACCAGACAGCCATGTGCACCTGAGGAAGCCAGCAGGTATGTGAAGCCGGGACCAGACACAATCCAGCTGCTTTCAGATCCTCTCCTTTGTTAGGACAGGGTACCGCCAGGGACGCAGCCGAGGTCTCCTGAAGATTCCAATCACATCACTTTGAAGGGAAGTAAAGGAAAGCACCCAAACTAGCTGAAGACCTGAGTCCCATTCTTGAGCCATTAAATGAGTCATGACCATGGAAATACCACTTTACTTCTCTAAATCTCGGCTTCCTCAAATGTAAAATAATGACATACGATTAGATTGCCCTTAAATCCCTTCTTTGATTCTATTTGCTGTTAGTCTTAATTTTTATACATTGGGTTTTTTCTCCAAGCAGAGAACACCTTTAGTAACGAAGCCCTCTCTCTGTCTTTTTTTGTTGTGTGTGTGTGATTTGAGTCAGTTAAGAGGAAAGTGCTTCACTTTGCCTCCTTCCTGGGGAATGAACACCCACATTACACACCCACACTGTTCTGACAGTCTTCAGACGCCTCGTGTCTATCCTCTAGTATCTTAACTTGATACAGGCGATGATCCTAGGTTTTAATGCTGCATCCAAGTGTGACTCAGAGCAAGGAATGAAGAAGGAAATGATATTGGGCAGACTCTTTTCTCTACGTTTCGCTGTGACGTGGTGAGACGCCTGTCCAAATGGGTCTGAATATCTGTAGGTGTGAAACTGGAGAAGCCACTGGGCTCTCATGGAGTTTATGAAGGTTGAATGATCCAAAACATGTTGGAATAATCAGTGCTTTATGTGGGGCGAGAAAACAGACAAATCCACAACTAATACAGTCATCTCTAGGTCTCTGCGGGGTATAGGTTTCACGACCCAGTGTGGATGCCACAATCTGCGGATTCAAGTTCCTTATATAAAATGGCGTAGTGTTTGCATATAACCTATGCATATCCTATATACTTTAAATCATCTCTAGATTGCTTATAATACCTAATACAATGGAAATGCTATATAAATTGTATCATTTTATTGTTGTTATACTGTATCATTTAGGGAGTAATGACAAGAAAAAAGAAGGCTGTGCATGTTCAGCACAGATGCAACCATCTTAGGCCTAACCACACAGTACATCTCAGCAACCATGCAACTTCTCTCTTTTGGAGTATTTTCAGTAGGTCAGTGAATCAGTAGATGTGGAATCATGGATATGGAGGACTGACTGTATTAGGATTTTCTGGGCTGAGTATTAAATTCAGTCTAGAAAGATTAATTTACGCAAAAGGAAAAACAAAACAAAAGAAATAAAACACAAATTAAAAATAAAGATATCCTTGTGTTACTTTCTGATTGGAAGCATCTCCAAAGAGAAATAAATTTTCCTTCCGTCTCTTCTTCATCTCCCCGTTTGCTAGGAATGAAGACACGGAAGCTTTGGCCTAGAGTGGCAAGCCAGGAAGTGCACTGGTGTTACTTTTCACACTAAATATTTGGCCTAACTTTCTAGGAATCAGGAAGAGCTATGTAGGCGGTTTACGTATTTACACAGAGCTAAATCTCTGCTTTGTGCATCTCAAATCTCCCCGGGAAAACGTATCTATGACCTTTCTTAAACCCAGTATGTGGGAATTTGTACCAAAGGGACCTAACGATGTGTTCGTTTCATGATGCATAGATCATAAGGGTTGGGGGGGTCTTCCAAAGCTAAAAATAGTCCTTCATGTAGGCTGAAGTCCAAACTGGGTCTAATATGTAGGAACGGAAAAGGTTATTAGCAAATTTATTAAGGATTCTCTTGTGCATTCAGTTTTGAAAGTCAAATCATTACTTGAAATATGAGCAGAGTTTTATCATTCTATGAATATTTTAAACAAAAGGGGTACACTCACTGCGAATGTGTAACTTACCCACACTTAGTAAGCTTTTTACTTCTTACCGAGAGGCAGTAATGACCACAATGAACTAAGAAAAGCTCTTTTTTAAAAAAAAAATAAATTTGATGTTAGTTAAAACTGATCATAATGGTTATATTAGAGTAGTAAGATTCTGAGTAATATTTATCTCTCTAATTTCTAAGCTTTAGTTATGAATCTATTTTTAACTCAAAAAAATTTAAGTATAATCATGCCTCTAATACCCAAAATTTGGAAGCGGATTTGCATATATATTATTTGTGGACATTAACCTTCATTCAGCCTTTGCAACATATATACATAGATACATAAAACAGTAGAAGACTGAACTCCTTCCTCACTCAGCAGGGAAGAACAATTTGCACATTCATTTAGATCCTATTTAGATTGCTAATGCCAGTTCTATTTTGTTTTTCTCTTTTGGCTTTGAACTACCTCTGCTTTCAGGAAATGCCTATTATTACATACTAATGCTAATAGCTGACCTTTACTGGGTACTTATTCTTGCCAGCCAGGCCAAGCCCTTTGCATGTGCCTGCCATTCATTTAGTCCTCTCAACAGTGAGATAAGGTGGGTGCTCTTATTACCTCTGTATTTACAGGAAAGAAAATTGAGGCTCAGAGAGGTCAACAATGTTGCCCAAGATAATTCTGGCTCCAGGGACCTTGGCCTTAAGCATGAAGCTGGGCTGCTTCAGGTGCATAAGCACCTGAAATATCTTTGCATTGCCTACAAAGCACTCAGGACAAAGCCTTGCACAGGAAGTGTTTGTTGAATGAATGTCTGCATTTCTACGCATCTTGAATTTCCCATCTGGGAACAAGATTTACATTTATTGTTTTACACTGTAGTTCGGATGAAAGAAGGATCTTCGCTCAGCCAACATACATACATACATACACACACACACACACACACCAAACATACATACATACATCATACATGCATGCATACATACATACAATTTGAAAAAAAGAAATATGCATACACGGCATATTTTCCCCCAAGTAATTGTTTTTAATGGTAATATTGTGAACCGAAATGTAGTTAACAATACTCCTTACCTGTTCGAAACACAAAAAAAGGAAAGATAAGGGGAGAGGAAGGTCATTCTGAACTGTGAAAATCTGAATTCCAAAAAACTAAAAGTTTAGTAAACACGCTGCATTACTTTGAGAATCATACGCTCACCCTAACTCATCTAACAAAATATTGCCAGATGTTTTCCCGACTGGGTGTTCTTAAGGAAGGGCTGATTTAACAAATCACTAAAAATAAGGGCAAACTGTAAATTGCTTAAGTGTAAATAGGTTCTCCCGATGTTCTTTCTGCTGTCTTGTTTCTACTGTTTAAGTGTTTAGCAAGTCTCCCCGCCCCCAGGGGTGGTGCAGGAGTAAACAGACTAATTTGTCACAAATTAGTCAATTTCTAATTAATGAGCTCTCACTGTGTTTTAGAAAATTTTTCATTTACTTGAAATGCTTTTTCCTTCTAAATCTATAATCCACAGCAAGAAGCGTGGTCATGTCTACCAGGAACAAACAGCAAGTAGTGTGGGAAGGGGAAGCACTAACCCTTCTCTGCAAGGCAGACGGAGCTGAAAGCCTCCTGTCTGTGAACTGGTGGCACGTTCCACAGGACCAGACGCAGCCAGAGTTTGTGGCCGGCATGAAGCAGGATGGCACCGTGCAACTGAGTGACTCCTACGGGGAGCTCAACAATCACGGCAATGCAAGGCTGGAGAAGACGGACTGGGGCACTTTCCAGCTGGAGATCCCCTCCACCAGTGTTACAGACAGCGGGACATACGAGTGCAGAGTGTCTGAGAGGACCCGGAACCAGGCCGGAGATCTGAGCTGGACTCAGAAGATAGCGGTCACTGTGAAATCTCTGCGTAAGTGTCCGTGAAATCCTTTTCTTAACTCGCACATCACCAGCACTGTTCTTTTGCTGTGGAATGCAGTGGAATTAGATGGCGTGTCATCCCGAATCCCCTAGTTATGGTATAGGTACCCCAGGACACAGAGCATAGTCTCTGGCTACCATGTCTGTTAACGAATCTCTAAAGTTCACTCATCTTTAGGGCGTAACGTGTAAGTTGTCTTTCAAGGCTGAAAACAAAATCCTATGAATTGGAGTAGACTTATAGAAGAGAGATGCTGAGTGAGGCTGAGCCTCATACACTCGGGCTTTTGACAGCTGCAGCCCTGGGCTTACAGAGCCTCTCTAGCATGTGCAAGAGTGTATGGAAGCTGAGTGGGGGTAAGGGAAGGAGGCCAGCCGCTGGGCTGTGGAGCGCTCCCCCAACTCGACAGCAGCTGTCCAAGTAGCAGACTGGAGAAACACTGCCTGTTTGTTGTCGCTGCTGAGAACACTCTGAGAGGAGGGTCAGCTTTGGAAAATCAAGGTCAGAATTCAGGACGGACTGTACTGTGAATCAACTGCTATCCCCAGCCCCCAATACGTGAGACTCCCAACGTGGGAATGCATGGTTCCACGTGCAGAGGTGGAGACTAGGAAAAGTTGGCAGGACCGTACTTTGGTGTGATAAACACATTAGAAATCGTGTTTCACATTTCTGCCCACAGAATCAAGTTTACAAGTTAGTCTGATGAGCCGTCAACCGCAAGTGAAATTAACCAACACCTTAGACCTGTCCTGCATAGTGGGGGCTGACTACGCTGACCTCAAGGTACCACTCACCGTGACATGGCAGTTCCAGCCGGCTGGGTCCCAAGCCTTTCACCAGCTTATTCGAATCACCCATCATGGCACAATCGAATGGGGCCACTTTCCGTCCCAGTTCCAAAGGAAATCGAAGGTTTCGCAGTCTTCATTTCGTTCTCAACTCCTAATCCACGATGCCACGGAGGAGGAGGCGGGAGTGTATCGGTGTAAAGTGGAAGTTTATGACAGAAATTCCCTGCACACAGATGGCCCCATGAGGGCTTCTGCCATCTCTCACCCGCTGCAGATAGCCGTCACTTTACCAGGTAAATCGCCGCTTGAAATTAATCCCTGCTTTAAAGAAATAAAAAAAATTTCTTCCACTTTGGATAAGTGTTAGAATTAAGGCATAAAATACCTTCTTCCTGTGTTTGTACTGTATAAATAAACCATATATAAGTGACATCCAGAGTCACATTAAGTTAGTATGCACGGCATGGCCATCTTCGCTGTTAAAACATTGAAATACTTCCACACTAAGAAGAACTACTATCCATACTCCTCCTCCATCTTCCCAGAAGTCCCCACCAGCCAGCAACTAAAGGGACCACGTGGCACAGCAGCGGCCCTCTGGGGCCAGCTCCAGTAAAGGGACAGTCTTTCGGACTGATCTCTGCTCATGCCTCACCAGTCATTAAATGTTTGGGCTGTCTCCCCGGTGTATGGATAATATAAATTCCACCAGAGCACACTTATGCACTTACTTTAATGTGTCCATGTATAAGGGAGAACTTATGATTATAGCCAAATATACTTTACCTTGTCAGTTGGTAATAGAGCATAGAGGTTAAAAGTAAGACACAACCTGGGCAGAGTGCCACCGTGTGAAGTATCTTTTTTGGTGACTTTCACTCTCTTAGGGCAGAGTGTTCAATAGCCTTTGAAGTCATTTGGATCTGACAAGCACTGATAACAGCATAGCTTTAAACAAGCCATTTAACCTGTCCAAGCCTAGTTACCTCATCTATAAATTGCTGATGTGCAGTTTAGAGGTGGTGACATATATACTGTGCCTAGTACAGTACCTGACACACAAAGCAGAGGCTTAGACATGGTCTGAGCTGTCATTTTTCTCTCTGCTGCTGAGCAATATTTTTGGTGATGGTAATGATCCTTGCTGATGAACTCACGACTTAATTTATTTATCCTTTCTGTGGATTTCGAAATTGTTGGTCCAGTCCTTTCTTCTTGAAACTTCTTTTTTCCTTGGCCTCGTGATGCGAGATTTTCTTGGTTTCCGTCCTAACACGCTGAGTGCTCCTTCTCATTCTGTAGTCTCCTGAAGTGGCTTTATTTCTACCCGTGGATTCTACCCATGTGCTGACAACCCCCAAATCCGTTATCCTGAAAGCCTCCTCTTCTGATCACCAGACTCATCTGTGCAACTGCCTCCAAGACAGGTCTACACTCAATGTGTCGAACATAAATGCACCATTTTTTATCCCTCCAAAGCTGCTACTCATACATTGTTCTCTATGTGCCCATCACCCACCAGTGACCTACGTGGGAAGCCTGAGTCATCCACAACTCATGTCCAAACTCACATAGCGTGGTATGCAAGGTCCTTATTCATTCTGGACATTATGTCCTTCCAGTGTTATCTCCTTCTACTTTCCATCTTGAATTTGAACTCCAGACACACTGAACTACTTGCAGTTCCTCCAATGTTCTTTGTTCTCTCTTACTTTCAAAGTCTTTGTTCGAGTTGCTTCTTTTGTGTGGAATGCCTTAACCCTTTCTCCATCAGACTAATTCCTATTAACCTGAAGACTTAGCTTAGAGACGTCTCCTCCAGGAAGCCTCCCCTGACTCCCTTGCTTTGGTTTAGTGGTCGTGGTGTGTGCTTTGATAGCCACTTGTGCATACCTTCATCCCGCTTGGGTGACACAATCCTGTAATCTCTAAGCCTCTGTCCCTGTACTAGTCTCTTCCTCTGGACTGTGAACCCACTGAGGGGAGGTATCCACAGAGTCTGGAATAGTCTGGCACATAACATAGTATGTGCTTAATGGATGCTTATTGAAGGAAGAGCAACATCGATAAGCAGTTACAAAAGCAGAATTAGTAATGTCAGCAAGAAGTTACAATAAGATTTAGAAGCCTGGTTTTATCATTGGTCTTTCTGATGAAGCAGAAAAGCCATTGGGGTTAAAGGGTAGTTGACTCCATATGTATACGATATTCCATAGTCGAGTGGCTACAAAGAGGCTACCATATTAACAGCCCACGTACAACTTCCTTTTGTTTATCCATGTTTGACGGCTCATACAATCAGACTTTGGCAAATTGTGAACCAAGAGTTCTCTGGATAGCGAACACATGGACAAAGCATTAACAGGGCCACTTCCTCTCCATTCGATTTATAAAACGCTACAAAAGAGAAGATGTCTGTGCTTAAATATGGAAGCACTATTGGATGGGAGAGAGTGGGCTTTTCTAAGTGACACTTGTCCCCTCCCCCATCCCACTCTCCCGGGCAAGGGCAGAACTAGGACCAGTGGAAGGAAGTTACGGAGAGGTAAAACTCAACTTGATATCAGAACGAATTTTCTAGTGGCCGAGCTGTCCGAAGATGGAATGGGCTGCTTTGTCAGACAGTGAGCTGTTCAGAGGCTGAGTGAGCAGTGAGTAGGCCTGCCGGGGAGAGCATTCACACATCCAGTGGCCGTAGGAGGTATTGCTCTAGTTGACTCCAGTGTGCCTTCTACCTTCAAATTCTGTTTTATAACAAAGTAACAAAAGTCATCGTTTCCATTTTTTTTTTTTTTAATTTAGAGAGCAACCTGAAAGTGAATTCAAGCAGTCAAGTCCAAGAGATCCCCATCAACTCCAACACAGACATAGAATGTCACATCTTGTCCCGGTCTACCGGAAACATTCAATTTGCTGTTACTTGGTACTTCTCTTCCATTTCCACTAATGCACCCTGGCGGAAGATCCTGGAAATGGACCAAACCAACGTTGTAGAATATGGGGATGAATTTCACACTCCATGGAGAAAACAAAAATTCCACACCGAGAGAGTTTCCCAAGACACGTTTCAGCTACACATTCTGAACGCAGGAGACAGCGATCAGGGCAGATACCGCTGCTCTGTGAAGGAATGGCTCTTGGCCACGAATGGCGCTTGGTACCAGCTTGGAGAAGAGATGTCGGGTCTAACAGAATTGAAACTCAGGCCCACAGGTGAACCTCATGAGCGTATCCTCACGTCTTTCTGTAGGGTTGCCATCTTTTCTTGGGCTGCTGTTCTATGGAGTGATTACTTGAAAGTAAAAAGATGACCTAGAGTCCCAAGAAAAGTGTCCACCTACGCAACGACCGCAGGACCTGGTAGCCCACCAGGGGATGGGGGATCACTGAAGGTGAATCAGTCTGAGGTTTCAGGGAGATTGGACGGGGACAAGAGCCCTTCGATTGGTTTGCTGATCAGCCTGGCAGCTTGGTCTATGCAGCTACCCAGGGTATCGTATCTCCAGCTCTCTGTAATAACAAGCTGTGTCACTCCAGTGAGGCTGTATTGTAATTTGGCAGAGAAAGAGTAATACGAAGCATATTTCTCCTACTGTGAACAGAAACTGTACAACTCTACAGGGAAGTGTGGAGAAATTGCTTTTCAACATTTGGCTGCCTAAACAGAAGGTGAAGAAGAGTAGTTAACCATTGGAATGGCTTACAGAGAGGGTCTCCTTTTCCTCAGGAGATCTTTAAAAATGTAGTAGAGGTTCCATCCACTTGCATTGGTCTAAGCGCGCTGAGATCGAAATGTGGGCAGGGCTGAGAAGATCTCTTGGCCTTCGTTAGGTCACCTCTAATGTTGATTAAAATTAAATGAATGTCATGGCTAAGGTTTGGGAACTGGATGAGATCCAGTAGCACAATGCAGATGAGTTAGTTTGGCACTTAAAATTCTCAGTTCGATGTAACATCAAAAACAAGATTGTAATGAGCATTACCGTGTGTTAAGCAGTTAGGATCACAAAGACAGCTCTTGCCTTAAGGAGCTCGCGGTCTATTGGGGTAGCAGGGAGCCCTCTGCTTCTCCTTTGCCACATTCTTCAGGCCCTTCTTCCTCTCTGTGCTAAAGGCGGGTGTTCTCAGGGGAACCAGATCCTGGGCCCATTTTTCTTCTTATTCTCTGTTTTCTTCAGAATTTCTCAAACACTGCCTCGATTTCCCCTATCACCTTTGATGAAATAGCTCTAGGTCTTTATTCTTAGCCCCAATCTCCTGAGCTCAGGTCTTTCTACCCAATTGCCTGTTGGACATTCCTACCTGGAGGCCTGAGAGTCCCTGCCGCTCAGCATGTCCCCAGTCGTGTTTATCCTCCCTGCCATCCTGTGAGACTCATGCACACTTGCACACGCTCCGTCTGTGTGGCGGGATCCCCTTCCTCCTAGTTGTCCTCGCCAAATCCTGCCAGTGTCGAAGCCACTCCGGAGCCCAAGCCAGCGCTTCTCATTCAGAAAAGGGAGCTCAGCATTGGCCGGTCTTTTCATGTATCAAGAAAGCGCTTAACATTTTTCTTGGTGACATCGTTCAATTTGAGAATGCTCACAACGAATTCAAAGTCTTTTATTATCCTGAGAGTGTCAGACGAAACACATCCAGGTGTGGCTGTCTGCAGGTAGCCTGCTGAGTGCACCAGTGTAGAGTTAAGGAATTGGCCCCAGGGAAAGACACTGAGAGGGCCTGGTAGAAGGGACATCTGAAATTCAAAGAGGAGAAGTTTCGTAGAAGAAAATGGACTTCAGTGACAAAAACCAGAGAGAGGAAAAAAAAAAAAAAGACTAGAGGGTCTCTTGAGCAGGGAAATTGGGCCCTTAATGCAAACATTGGCCAAAGTGTAGTGGGGAGATTGGAAGGCTGATTGCTCTAACGCAGGGAGTAATTTGAGGTGAGGAAGTAGATAAATATTAGTTTATCACGTAAGCTAATATTTTACATGCTTTGCTATAAAGGGAAACGGAGAGTAAAGACGATAACTAAAAAATGTAGACTCAGACAAAGTTGTTCTTTTAAGGTAAAAAGATTAATAAATGCGTTTGTAGTGGAGCTGAAAATTCAGTGCATACTATAAATTCTTCATTTTGTTTGTAACTACTCTTGGCCTTCATTCCAGTCCTCACCTGCTGGTTAGCAGGGAAATTTTTTTTTAAGTAAATGTCAAAATCTGTTTAGAACAAGTCAAATCCAATCATTTACATCGTCTCCTTGAGTGGTGGTGTTCTAACACTTGCGTAAAAATGTTCAGTCTCTCGGACAGCCTCCTCCTTCCGGTGTGTGGGAGGAGGGTGATTTGCTAAAACTGAGGGGCAGTGGTGGGACACAGGACTTGAGAAGAAGGCCAGAAGTATGGAGTGATCCCCCCGGGAAATAGAAGAGCGAGGGGCGGAGCGCCCTCCAAAGCTGGGTGGTTTTCAGTGTCAGGTCCAGCAGACAAGAGGTAGGGCTAAAAGAGAGAAGTGGCTGGTTTGCTTCATAGCAGAGAATGTTCTAGCAGCTATAGAAGAAGGATAGGGGTCAAAGGAAAGTGTTAAAGAAGAAGCACTTGATATAATCTAAAGATTATAAGATGGCATCTCCTCAAAAAGCCCATGCTCTTCTCTAACGTACTGCCATTTTATTTCCTAGGAAGTAAAGTACGTGTCTCCAGAGTGTCCTGGTCAGAAAACGCTACCGAGCACGGAGAGGCGACCATCCACTGCAGCCTAGAGAGCCCAGGTGGCTCAGCCTCCCTGTTCTCTGTGACGTGGTACCGGAACGGAGAAAACTCTGGAAGCAAAATGCTGGTGCACCTGCAGCAGGATGGCTTGCTGGAGTATGGCGACGACAGGCTCAGGAGTCCCCTGCACTGTTACCGCTCATCCCCCACAGACTTCGTCCTGAAGCTTCATCGGGTGGAGATGGAGGACGCTGGAATGTACTGGTGCAAGGTGGTGGAGTGGCAGCTCCATGGCACCCCCGGCAAGTGGGTCAGCCAAGCCTCAGACGAGTCACAGCATGTGGCGCTCACGGTGCTGCCGTCAGGTAACCAGGGGTTAGTTAAGCGGCCATGGCTCGCACTCGGAACATTTGTCTCCCCTCTTGGGGTTTTCCTCCCAGCTATGTTTTGCTCCTTCTTCAGGCTGAAAACAATTTCAGATGCTCTAAGGAAACGACTTGCCATTTGTCTCAATAGTAACGCCTTTGGGCAGACAAGGTCTACGTGAGGTGATGACACAGACGTTGAAATGTCAGGGGCATCTGCTCCCCGCTTCTTCTCCCAAACAAGAAAAGCCATCAACGTTATATCCCTTTACCTAGCCAAATAATGTCTGAAGCAGACAGCCTTACCTCTCGGCTGAACCTTGGACCTTTAGAATGTTGCTCTGCAGTGGGAGAGGGAATGAAGGAGAGGGACATGGTGACTTTACATTTGATCTGGTTGAATCAAATGTAAAAAAAAAAAAAAAGCAGCTACATCTAAATGCTCCTTGAGTCAAAAAAAAAAAAAAAAAAAAACAAACAAATGAACAAACAAAACCTTTCTCAAAGAATAAATGCCAAGTCGCTTATCTCTCTGTGTGCTCAGCAAACCACCAGGACTTTGATATCGAGAGTCATTCAGTGCACCTCTCCTAATTGCACCTTGAGAGGCATCAAAGGAGGAAGTGCATCCTATAGAGCTTGTTTTCAGGCTCCAGCAAGGAGGGCGGGTCCTGGAAGCCAACGCCAAAAGCTGACCCTTCTCCGTATGGGAAGGTCGGCCTCTTCAGCTGAGTGCACAGCTTCAGGAAAGATATGGAGCAAGAGGCTGTGGAGGGGAAGAGGGCGCCGTGCCAGCCAGCATGGTGCCAAGCACATCACAGGCATTTATTAAGCATTTGTAAATGAAAGCAGAACCTTCTCCAGCCAGACCAGTGAATCTTCGCTGGCGATCAGTAAGCTGGCAGATGTTGTAGCCAGCTCATTCTCCGAGCCACTTCCTCCTGGTGAGGTTTAAGGACAAGGTGAGGGGTGAGCTCTACACTAAACTTACAATGGAAAACGGTCATTGGAGAGGCAGAGGTGTGGTCTTCGTTCGTACAGCAGGATGGGTAACAAGAATCAATAAAGATAACATTCCGAGGACACCAGCCAGCTTTGGTGACACTCCTTAGGAGGAAGAGGAAGGGCGTGCCGCCGAGCACATATGGAAGCTTCTCAAAAGTGGGTGCAGGCACAGGCGCAGGCGCCTCCCCGCAGAGCTTCTGGAGGGAAGGTCCTCTGACTGGGTCC